TTCTCACTGTTTAGGGGTAGGGGCCAATAGTTCTTTTTTGTTTTGTTTTGTTTTTTACAGTGAGCAGCCACAGGCTGCTCACTGTTTAGTGGACATGCCCCTACTCGCGGTATAGCGAGTAGGGGCATTTGGGAGATTTTTATCTCCCTTGTGCTATTATGGGGGTCATATTGACCCCCATAGAGTGAGAGGGGGTACTGGGGGGGCTTATGAAGTGGTGGGGAGCACTGCTCCCTGCCGCTTCTATAGTTACATATTACAAGGAGGGAGCTGCATGCCGGTAGCTCCCTCCTTGTAATAAACAAACAAACACCGATACATTGTGTTTGTTTGTTTGTTCGGCTGATATTTCTATTCACTCATTCGTCTGTCTGATGAATGAATGAATAGATGAAATTCCCGTTCGCATGTCCAGGTGTTTCACTGGGCATGTGCGGGAATCTCAGTGTCTGCCTAGTGTGGGCTGATGACGTGTCCCTGAGGGACTTCATCTACCCACACAAAGATGGCTGCGCCCTGAATATAGATCGGGGCAGAAAATAAGGATTAAAAAATAGGTAATGTGGGGGGCTTAGGGGCATTTAGGGGTGACTAGTGGGTCAATTGGATGTAGTGGAGGCGGGAGAGGGGTTAAAAAAAAAACAGAATTCGGCATGACAGTGCCGCTTTAAACACGTAGAGGTGCAGTCTTGACAGCAAGGGGTGGGATACATTTATATTGGATTTGTGCTGCCCTAGGCATGACTAAACTCGGGGGGTGCCCCCAAGCCAAGCCTAGGGCAGCACAAATCCAAAATACACCAATGGCTTTTCCTTAATTGCTTCTTTTTGGGGGGGAGGAGGGCATGAAGCATTCTCCAAGAAGGTATAGCATTAGTTGTAGTAGAAGGAACTGCAGTGCCAGGTGGGGAATATGATTGCCTCCTTGATGTTGATTCTGACATAATGGGCATGCTGTTAATCCCACTACCATGAGAACTTTATAGTGGTGGTGGTGACAATGATAATGGTGGGTTTGTTTTTATTACTGCAATAAATTGGGGATATGAATGACTGTGGATTGTGTAAACTAACCTTTATTCAGCAAAATGGGTGTTTGTGTTGCAAAATGGCTTGGGGCTTAGTGGATTTACTACTGTAAAGTTATTGTGTTTGATTTTAAGAAGCACTGCAAAGTCTTTGCACACTTGCACAGCACACACTTGACTGAACACACTCCAAACACTTAACAAAAAAACAAAAAAAACAATAAACCTTTAACAATTATATATTGGTAACCTAATCTCACAAAATTCCACTCAAATTAGTTTCAACTGCCCCTGGCAGTAACTGCTTGCTGCAGTCAAAGTGTCAGAAGTATAGAATATTTTACTTTGCCTATTTCCCCTCTACTGGTCATGTAATATGTGAATAAAATCAATTTATCTTTTTTGCTACCTTTTAAATGGACAGGAGGTGCAGTATAGACCTGTTGTTCATCATGGCAAATTAAACGGCACTTTCTCTGAAACTGCAATGTTTTATTAAGGGGCCAGGGGTACTTCACCCAGACCACTACAATGAGATGAAGTGGTCTGTGCCTATTATGTGTCCCTTTAACAAAGGCAGTGAAGTATTCTGGCTTAGTCTATATGTTTATACATGTGCTTATAACACCAGTTAAATTAAAAATTACCTTGCATGGTATTTTACACCTGTTTACATGGAGATTTAATATTTTATTTATTAAATTCTTTATTTTTCTGTGCGAGAAAATTACAAGCATTTGTGAAGTGCCACAACAGCACGCGTAGATTAAGCAACAAACATTTAATTTGGCACTTGGAATCTGCACATTTTTTGTTATTATGTTGAAGCATGCTAGACACAATTTTTAGGTATATAGCGAGAAGATGACACGTTAAACATGTGTCAGTAAACAATAATGAGACAATAGGCTAAGCTCTAAATACTCTAACTGACAGCATGGTAGTGAGTAGCTAAGGTGAGTATCCAGGATGTGAATGCATGTTAAAGTATAGTAGATAAATGTTAGTTTAAACAACAGTATAGTGTTATTGCACACGTTCTTAGTTAAGTAGCTGGGTTTCAGACTATTCATGTATGTCCTATTATATGTATTATATATGTATGTCCTATTATATAGTACTATAGATTCTACATTCGATGTGGGTTAGCTGGACATGTGAGTGGTTAAATAAAAACAAGATTAACAACATGCTTATGAGATACGAGTTGGGAGGGAGTAATTGCTAGGCAAGCAGGCACGTCAGTATTAAGGCCAGTAGGTGACAATCTATCTGTAGACCTGTCTAGTGGGAGTACTAAGATAGTGTATAATCATGAGAATAATCTAACTGAGCCTATTATACATATGAGTGTTGGAAATAGTGACCTCAAGAACGATGGGGTAGCAGATTCGAGGTGATATCCTCTCTACTGTGGCTTGCCCTTCATCGGATACCCGGGATTTCACTGTGTGTGCTATAAGTCCTGAAGTCTCTGAGTATTGCAGGTCTCCAGGTCTCCAAGAATGTAAAGTCATCCTATACCCTTGCGGGACTGAAGTCCCAAGCTGGGGTGCAGATTGGCACTATGATGCCTTGGTGAGGTGTCTTCCCAGCCCCCACGGCAGCTTATGCACCAACTTGACAGGAGCCCGGTAGATTGTGTGCTTCCGGCGCTTTGCTTGCAGTTGCTTGAGTCTTGGTCGGGTTTTCCTGTCCTGTTGCTTGATCACTGCCTTCCATGTAAAAGCTCTGGTGTTCCAGGTCTGCATAGCGCCCAGATACTGTCGCTGGTTCTGATGCGATCAGCTCCATCTTTCTGGTAGGTCGCAAATGTGGCTGGCGTGCGGCGGCCATCTTGAGGGGTGCTGCCGGATGGTGTTTGTTTTTGGCCCAGTTTGGCGCAATATTAGTTGCCCGTGCAGACCGGGATGACCCCCCGGGTCCAGAGGGGGAGGGGGGGAGCCAGACGCCAGCCGGAGACCCGGGAGAGTGGCCGTCTCGTCCCGGCTCAAGCTCCTGCGCGCCTCGGGCCCCTGTCGGGTTACTGTAGGTGCCAGGCAGGATTTTGAAGGGTATACCCTTGTACCCCAGCATCTGGGGATCGGGTTGGTCTCCGGTGTAGATTGCTGGATAGGTTTAGCCTCCAGTTTGCGCTGATTTTCCTGTCCTGAAGCAGGAGCTCAGACAGAGCATGTCTGATCCCGTCGGCGGTCCGGCCCCGCCCCTCGGAGTTTTAATATTTTAATGTTAGTTTTTGCCAAAGTAGAGCTTATTCATGTCTTTTGAGATTTTATTATAAGAACATTGTGAATTAGTATACTTATTTATTTGGCCAGGATCAAATAAGTTAATGCTCTATCGGTCTGTCTGTTTGCCCATCTATCATATTTAAGGAAAGGAAAAGAAAGTGATTGCATATAATATTAATTAAAATGTCTATAACCGAAGACATGAGGGCAAAATGTGGTACTCTTTTCAATTGTATCTGGTACCCACTTCCACATTCAATGTACTTCCACCTCTCCAGGACAATATGCTCTTTCTTCCATCTCTAATTGTGCTTGTAATGCTAATTAATTTGAAAAATACCTGAGGCATTTTATCTTTGATTACATTGATAATTAATATTTTAATAGTAATGCTTGTCCAATAGCTATTTTAAATTATTGTAATGTATTATACTTGTTCAATCAGTTAGAGACAAATAATTTAATGAATATTCTGTTTATCTATTTTTCTCACGTTTGGCCAAATAGCACTCAGATCCATGCAGTGTATGAGAAACGCGTTAAAGTTCTGAACAACCGTACACGTGGTCTTATGCCCAAAACAGTTTGGTGTTTGGTGCTTTTGATGGCTTTTAAGATGGTTTTGGGAGCTCCTGCTGCCGAAATATGGGGTGCTCTATCTGGCTTTCAGGTAGCGTTTGTTCCCCTTAGTCTCAGACACCTTTCCTCCGAAAAGCGCTCTCCTGGCGGGCTGCAAAGTGGTGCAAAACCCCGGACCAAGTTATTCGGGAACCGCACGGTCACCTCAAGCCGAAAACAGTTCCATAACATTCACGGCTAAGTACCGCTGAGGTGACTCATGAAATTGGTTCCATAGCAGCTAAGTACTGCTGAGGACCATTCGTGGGTTTGGTTCACCACCAGGAGCTAGCTTTTGGTTCTGTTCAAGTGCCGAACCAGGGACACCCAGGGAAAGCTGCTAATAGCAGCTGGGCAGGGTAACTCCCGAATGGGGTCTCAGACATGGACCATAGTTTGTGGGCCATGAGTTCGTGGCAAGTGTCCGAGGAAAAGAGCGTTTGTCACAGAATGTATTAGTAACATGATGATTATGATGATGACCGTCAGTAGCATCTCAGCTAACCATGCTGCCAGTGGCGTACACATGACCCATGGGGCCCCGGTGCAAAAATTGATCCGTGGGCCCCCCCGCGCTTACTCGGCACGGGTTGGGGCCGCAACACATGGCGGCGGGCACCTGGTCGCAGGGCTGCGACCCCGCTATGCACACACACTTAAAGGACCACTACAGACACCCAGATCACATCGGCTCAATGAAGTGGTCTGGGCGCCAGGTCCCTCTAGTTTTAACCCTGCAGCTGAAAACATAGCAGTTTCAGAGAAACGGCTATGTTTCACTGAGGGTTAATCCAGCCTCTGGTGGCTGTCTCATTGACAGCTGCCAGAGGAGCTTCCGCGAGAAGACACTGAACGTCCATAGGAAAGCATTGAGTAATGCTTTCCTATGGGCGGTTTAAATGCGCGCGCGCCTCTTGCCGCGCATGTGCATTCGGAGCTGAGAGGCGGAGGGATCCCCAGCGCCAAGGGAGTCCAACGCTGGAGAAAGGTAAATGCTGAAGACACACACACACACACTCTCACGAACAGACGCATACACACTAGCTAACAGACACACATTTACTGACAGAGACACACTCAGCGACAGACATACACACTCACTTACAAAACATACACTTTCACTGCCAAACACACACTCACTACCAGACATCAAACACACTCAGTAACAGACACACACACTAACACACTCACTAGCAGACACACACCCAATAACAGACACACTCACTGACACACACACTAACACACAAACACTAACACACAAACACACAAACACTAACACACAAACACACACTAACAGACACACACACTAACACACACACACACTAACACACACACACTAACACACACACACTAACAAACACACTAACACACACACACACACACAAAAACACTTTTTTAAAAAAAATTTAATCCCCCCAGCCTCCTTACCTTTTGGAGGGCTGAGGGGATTCCCTGGGGTCCAGTGGTGCTGCGCGGGCGGGCTAGGTGGCCGGCGCGCGAGGGAGCACTCTGCTCTGTGTGCTTCCTCTTCAGCTCTCTTGTGCGCCGCATAGGGATGCTGGCGCCGGAAGATGACATCATCTTCCGGCTCCGGTATCAGTGCGGTGCGCGAGGGAGCTGAAGAGGAAGCACACAGAGCAGAGTGCTCCCTCACGCGCGCGTCCGCCCGCCAGGGTCAACAGGGCCAGCCTCGGGGGGGGGCCCTGAGGTGGCCGCCTCCTGGGCCCCCCAGGAGAAGAGGCTGGCCCTGTGGGTACATACCGGGTCGCAGGGGCGGCCGGGCCCCCTGGTATGTACGCCACTTCATGCTGCAATGAGCATACAGCAGTGTAAACTACACAAACGTATATTTATTGTGTTTGGTGAAATATGTGTGTGTCATGAATCAATAATAATATAAATAAATTCTTTTCAATTCTGAACAGTGGGAGACTTCCTAAGGTGAAACTTTTATATGCAGGTGTCATCATGATTGCAATCGGCGTCATCGGATTTGAACACAGCCTAAAGAATAAAGAAATGAGGTGCGAGATACAAATTTCAGTGGGTACTTAGATAGTTTAGAATACACTTACTATGAACCTAAAGGAAACCAAGTGCCTCCAATAAATATTTCTTAAAATACATTTTCTGGCCCAATGAGTGGTTGAGATGCGTATTTGTGTTTAAGAATGTTCCAGCTACAAATGTAGATACAAATGTAGGTATTGGTACCAACAGCAAAAGCTAAATACCAGTTTAAAATAACATATCTATATTCCTATGAATTTTACATTCTGAGATGAAACTATGTTGAATAAAGTGGACTTGCACAGAGAAAAAAAAAATCACTTTTTTTTATTTCTTCCTGTTTTGTTTCATCTGAATTTTGTCTCTGCTGACATTCCCCTTTGGCCACATGTGTTAGAAAGTTTTTACAGGTGAAGAAGGCCCTGCTAAAACGAGCTTACAACCTATGAGGATTTGAAATAGGCAGATATATTTTGATACGTATCTTGCCCAAGAACACTTACTGGTACGGTGGATTCAGACCTGGGTTTTACAGTTCTAAGACAAGGACATTATCACTGCTCTAACGAGCTGATTTATAATATGCATTCATATATTTGGATAAAGGGTCATTGAGTGCATTAATGCAGGGGTTTATGTGTGTGAATCGATGGGTGTATATGCGTGTGTTTGAAGGGTGAGTGTGTGTGTGGTGTAAATGCCCTGTCACTGGTCTACTTCCTCTACAGGGAAAATTACAGCTGGGTGAATAGTGTGTGATATGTAACTATCCCTTTTATCCAAATGTGACTGTCCCTTCCCTCAAAATGTCACCAGCTTCTTGCTCCATGATACTGGGATACCTGGCCACATTTGAGGTCACCTAATGAGGGGTTATAAATCATAGTGAACGAGTAAGGGAGATGCTCATCTACTCAACTCCCCTATTCCCTGGGGGTTCAGATTACTTGAACATTATTAAAATTTGGTGACCTATTTTGCTCCATGTGTTCCTCACCCATTGGTAATGAGTAAGGCTAAACAACATAGTAGGAGAGGATATGTCCTATCCACATTCTCACCACTATTATTCCCTGCGCTGTTGGGAAGTAATTAAATAGTAGGTGTACCTACCAAATGGGACTTAAAATATGTCAAAATTTAATTAACATTACACATTTCTTTATCAAAATACAGACAAACTGAAACAAAAGAGAGAAAAGTAGACAAACGATATGGACACTATATTTTTATTCTGTGCACAAGTCTAATCCCGACTAGACTCTGTACAACTGAATATAATATAGTTATTTATTTTATATTAATCTAGCCTTTCTTATGCAGTTACTGTGGTTAAATAAACAGCAATACCAATGGCAATGAAAAAACCTATTTAGTCATGCCCCTAAAAACTGCATTTCATCTTGTATATATTTGACCTATCTATTTTGCTTTCTTGTCCAGATGTTATGAACAAAGAAATCTGAATGCTGAGACTTTAAATAGTAGAGATACATGTTCCTGCAAGGAAAGGACGCACATCTTCTTTCTAAAAACCCACAAGACAGCCAGCAGCACAATCATGAACATACTGTTCCGTTTTGGAGACACTCGCAACTTGACCTTTGCCTTTCCAAAGAATGGACATTTTTCGTACCCCAGTTATTTTAATTCCAAATTTGTTGATGGTTTCTCAAAGGAAAGCAAGCAGGAGTTTCATATCATGTGCCATCACATGAGGTTCCAGCTCAGTGAGGTAGATATGTCACAATAACATTTGGTATCTGCTTAGCTGCTTAGTATACATATATATATATATATATATATATATATATATATATATTTATTATATTTTAATGAAGCTGAAGTATCAAAATGTTAGTCAGTTACATAATTTAGTGTCAAAGAGAAAAAGAGAATTTTAGACATTGGAGAAAACAAGAATACAGTATGCTAAACAAATGTGTAATAACATCAAGTCCCTGGTCCTTGCAAACCCAAGTTGAGTGTGGTAAGAAACTGGTAGACTTACAGAGGAAGAGAAATTATGTGGTAGGTTGATAAGATTTTTTCATTTTTTTCCCCTAAAGATTTGTTTTTATAGGGGATTGAATTTGAAGGACTCAGAATAGTGCACGGTTTGATGGGAAAGACAGGTACCAATTGTAAGTGTCAGAGTAGAATAAGGAATGAAGAAGATAAATCACAAAGTGGAAGTGATCAGGGAAGGGGCTGTAGACTACTAGACGTGTTCTACACATGAGATGCAGCACTTCATAATGTGGTCAAATTAACACCACAAAATTACTAACAACTGGGAAAGAGGACTTTGCTGATGCCTATAGTTATAATTGCTTCTAAGATGGAGCTAGCTCAATCACACATATTTAACTATCAAGACTATCACCTGCCTCCAGTAAAATCAACCCAGCCTGTATTCTGCTAAACAAAAACAAAGCAACCATCAGAACATCAAGGCAGGGAGCTGATACACTTTAAATAGGATTTGTGACTGAATTGCTATCAGACTATCAAGACTATAACCTGTGTTCAGTAACATCAGCCTATTCTGCCTGCTGCTACCCATAAGCAAAGTAATCCTCACGCCACCATGTCGGCAAGGTGACTGAACGATTTTATTGTGACTGTCTCTCTTTCTGCTGGCCTATATACTTAAAATTCTGCACTTTTACTTTATTTCACTGTTATTTTAATTGTAGCGGATGGCATTGGACTGTCCTCAAAGTTTGCTTTAAAAATGTATTTTGTGTGATTATTCCCCTGTATAGATGTATTGTATGTAGCATTGACTCGTTGTTCGGTAGTTTTTCAGTCCGTGTTCCATACGAATGAAAACTACCGAACCATCAGACCACCCCAGAGAGAAGTGTGCACCTCGTTGGGCTTTCACAATCTGTAACCACAAGCTAATTGACCATGCAATCGGTACTGGGTGGCCGCCGTTCGGCATACGAACCGCGTGGCGGCGGCCATTTTACACAAGAAAATCTACGCTGTTTTTGGTCGTCGAGTGTCTGGAACTCAAATTGGACACTCAATCACCCGAACACCGCTGAGACCTCCAGAGCTCCATAACTCCCGAACGGAGGGGCCAACCAGCCCCTCGTTCAGTGAACTAAATATACCGAACCAGGGAATTCATACAAATACCAATTTAACGTTGGATGGCAAGTAATTCTATATGTTTTATCTCTCGAACAGAGACCGACCGCAAGGCCAAAACACATGGAGCCTTTTTCGGATACTACCTCGTGTCAAATTGCCTCCAGTGGCGGATCCAGAGCCTGATCTCGGGAGGGGCACTTGTAGATTATTTAAATAAATAATCCAGGCACGATAACCACTACAGCTCAGTGTAGTAGTTATGGTGTCAGTAGTGCCAGGATTCCACCCCAGAGTAAGTAGTCATACTGTTTAAGAACAGTTTGACAACTTACCTGGGGTCTGCTGGGATATAGGGTATAGGAGCAGTGGTGTGTGTTAAGGGTGAAGTGTGTGAGTTAGGGGGCAGTGTATGTATGGGGGCACTGTATGTGTTTTTGGGGCAGTGTGTGTGTATAGGGACAGTGTTTGTGGGGCAGTGTGTGTGTATGGGGGGCAGTGTGTGTATGGTGACAGTGTTTGTGGGGCAGTGTGTGTATGGGGACAGTGTATGTATGGGGGCAGTGTGTGTAAGGGGACAGTGTTTGTGGGGCAGTGTGTGTATGGGGGACAGTGTTTGTGGGGCAGTGTGTGTGTATGGGGCCAGTGTGTGTGTGTATGGGGACAGTGTTTGTGGGGCAGTGTGTATGGGGACAGTGTTTGTGGGGGTGTGTGTATGGGGGGCAGTGTGTATGGGGACAGTGTGTATGGGTACACTGTGTGTATGGGGACAGTGTTTGTGGGGCAGTGTTTGTATGGGGCAGTGTGTGTTGTATGGGGCAGTGTGTGTATGGGGACAGTGTTTGTGGGGCAGTGTGTGTATGGGGGGGCAGTGTGTGTATGGGGACAGTGTGTGTATGGGAGGCAGTGTGTGTATGGGAGGCAGTGTGTGTATGGGGACAGTGTTTGTGGGGCAGTGTGTGTATGGGGGCAGTGTTTGTGGGGCAGTGTGTGTATGGGGGGCAGTGTGTGTGTTTTTTATTTTATTTAATAAAATAAATATTCTATGTCCCCCCTCCCTTCTTACCTTTATTTAGGAGGAGGGGGGACATTTCCCTGGTGGTCCGGTGGGGGATTCATTGGTGGTCCCAGTGTGGAGAGTGAACTCTAACCCATAGCTCCCGGGCTAGAGTTCACTCTCACGAGATTTGGAGCGTTGCCGTGGTAACCACGGCAACTCTCCAAATCTCGAGAGAGGAGGCCCCTGAGAAGCTGCAGCCTGAGCTCCAGGTCCTCTCTCTCAATCCCCAGCCGGCTGTCAGCACGGTGCCTGCGGACCGGGGAGGGAGATCACTGATCTTCCTCCCCAGTCCGCAGGCACATTGCAGGGC